TAATTTTTTTTAAAAAACAGATTAAATATTTAGGAATAAATTTAACCCAGAAATACAAATAACCTATAAAAGAAAACTACAAAACACTACCACAGGAAATCCAAAGAGTTCTACATAAATGGAAAAACATATTACACTCATTGATCATAAGACTTCACCCTGTGGAAGTGGAAATTTTATGAAAAGTAATCTATAAATACAATAAAAATTCTATCCACTTCCCAGTATCACTTTCCAAAGAGACAGAACTTCATATGAACATAACTAACTTCCAGTGGAAATGAAAGAGACCCTGGATACACAAATTGATACTGCAGAAGGAAAATCAAGTAGGAGACCTTCCATATCCTGATCCCCAAACTTGTACATCCTTGATATTTAGTATTTATCTCAATGATTCAAGCTATCCTCTTTTATGGTAGCTTTACATTGGAGATTGTTGTTTCAGTTATTGGAGATACCTTAGGGGCTTCAATTCTGCAGAATCTCCTCTAGTAAATCTATGTATCTATTAAATTTTCTTATCTTCTCTTCCTCTTCTCTGCTATCTTCTGGTAACCACAAATCTTTTTTTAAATATCTCAATGAATTTACCTATTCTAGATATTTCATATAAGCAGGGTCACATGATATTTGCCCTTTAGTGTTTGGTTTATTTCATTTAGCATAATGTTTTCAAGGTATATCTACGTGAAATCACTTATCAGAACATTATTTCTCTTCTAATCTTAATAATAACTCCATTATTATTGGTGAGCACTTGGGTTGTTTCAACTCCAACTGAATTCTGACAAAGATGCAAAACAATTTAATAAACAAATGATAGTCTTTAATAAACAGTACTGGTACAACTGCATAGTCATCATCAAAATGAACCTGAGGTAAACTTCATACTTAAGAAAATTGTAAACCAAAATCTTTTATGAACTTTGGTGAAAAAATTCTTAACAAAATACATTTTCTATTTTTAGACAGAATTTCTATAAAATAGAATTACTGGTTTTGCTAATATTACTAAATGAATTATAATTATTTTTAAAATGAGATAACATTGCTTTCTGTTTCCTGATAATATAAATGTCACAGTTTCTGACCCTAGCAAACTCCACATCACAGAACTAGATGAGCTCCTGTGGAAGAATCTATAAGAAAGTGTGAGCTGAAAAACAAAAAAAGAAAATATGTATGTGGTCCCAAGGAGAAAGGCCTTGCTATTTGGATGGGGTTCTAGGATAGTCTGTAACAATTGCATCCCCTAGTTATTTCTATCATAGAATAGAAATATTCTGGTGATATTCTGAACTGGTAAAGGATCTGAAAGCCAAAGCTATCAGGTGCCATATCAGAAAGTTAAAACCACTCTCTACTTCCTGAAAACAATCTCCCTTCTCTAAAGGACCTCCTGACTCTGACTTTTATTTATGAACATTAAGTTTATTCTAACTGAACTGCCTAAATGGCACTGGTTCATGGTTAATAACAACTGATATTTATAAAAATCTTAACTATGTGCCAGGTACTATTTTCCATACAGCAGTAATTCACTTAGTTCTTTCAACAACCCTTTCAGCTAAGTTCCTTACTGTCCATATGTCACACCGGAGAATGCTGAATGAAGCACAGAGCTTTTTAAATTTTTTTTCCCAGTCATCCAAACTGTAAACAGAGCATAGGGACACTAGGTGGCCCAAAGTGATTTTTGATTGTTCATTTTCTACATTTTAAATCAAAGCTTTATTTTAAACAATACTACTTAGAATTTTTCATACTAAGACACATGGAAATGAATTTAACAACAGCAAATGAGTTTATGTGAAATTGACTCTGACTCATAACCACTGCACATGTGTCAAAGTAGATTTGTCCTCTGCAGGGAGCCTGTCCTGGGAAGGACATTTTTGGAGTGTGGCATTCCATGGGCCTGAACAGCTGTCCACCACAGAATTCAATTTCTCCTAGAGAACAAGCGACTCTACCTGGCCCAGTGCTCAGGTCTCCAAGCTGCTCCTGTCCCAACAGCCATGTGACACTGACCTCTCTGGTACATGCACATACTCCAGGGGAACAACTTGGAGTCTGCATGGGTTGGAATTGGCACCTTTCCAGGAACTGAGGCCAGTGTTTTTGAGCTAAAAGAACTGAATGAAGAATTTCAACTTAAGCACCAGAATCTTATCTGCAATTGCTAAATTTCTCCCTACTCTATCCAGTTTATAACATGGGCATTCCTTGTACTTCAAACCAATGTCTGTAGCTTTAGGCAAAAGCAAGCTAGAATATGTAAAGGAAGGGCAGCGAACAGAGCTGATGTCTCAGCAGAAGTTAACCATTTCCCTTACATCGGTATGTAACCTTAATATTTTAAACTTTGCCCCACTCATCACCTTGTTGATGCCTCCCAGCAAACAGAAAAGGCAGACAGGTGAGGGAACAGAACAGTATCTGCTCCTTTACTTTCCTCCTGAGCCACCATAATGTCTAATGACTGTGGACCTGCCACTCTTACATCACTCATGCTAATTAGAGGCCAAAGTTCTCCTCTTTCCCAGTCCACCTTAGAATACTGTCTCACAGCTTTCCATTCATCACAACCTCTGAAATAGGCACACAGCACAGAGGAGAGAAATGTTAACAGCTGCAGCTGTTTAAGGTGCCTGTCAAACTGGCTCTGGGAGGAAAATGACCTAAATTATTTTTTATACACATTCCCACCCCTCAAGTCTGTGGTTTCCTAATGTATTTTACTGTTTGGGATGCCTTTAATGGGACCCAAAAGAACTTTTAAACTATTTCCATCTTTTCTGTTTCTTTCTTTACATCTTGGTCCAAACCTGGCCTGGCATCGAAAACAGATCAAGTAAAGTCTCAGATTTTCTCTGGGTCTGTTCTCTAGTACTTGGACCTAATACAGTTATTTTTTTAGGGAAATATTGACATAGCTCCATAGATTTATATTCTCCTCTTAGTCAATGGATTTATTTAGGTTACAAGGTCTAATGACAAATTTTAGGTTCTTTTAGTCCACTAAATTGCTACTAAGTTTTTTGCAAGAGAGTTCACTCTATTGGCATTAACAAAACAATCTTTTTCTTGTTTCTCATAGCTACCATTGATCTGTATCTAATAGTCTGTCTGAATAATAACACTTAGGTTGACTCACCCATTGTAAAAAGAGGGAAGGAGAAGGGATGAGCTGAAGAAGAAGGAATAATGGGAGACATAGTCCATTGGGTCGCTATAGGGTTGCTATAGATCGCAGGTGACTCAATGGCACATAACAACAACAATATACTATATTGATTGTTTTTATTTAAGACTCTAGTTTAGAATTAACAAGACCTTGGGGATGGCCTTTATTACTAGTATAAAATTTTTTTTAAATTTGGTTTTTATTATATTTTGGAGTTCTAAGTGGTACAGCACTCTTCTGTCAATATGCTGTACCAAGGTAACCTGGGGTTGTTGGGATGCTGAACCTTGTGCCATTGGGGTTTCAAATAGTATAATGGTTACCCATGATCGACAGTGTTTGGTTGGGCTTCCAGTTTAAGACAGGTTTAGAAGCAGAAGTGGCATCCACTTCTTAAACAACATGCCTCTAGAAAGCCTATGAACTTAAGAGAAACGATAGTTATCTAAAAACTTCAGGTCTTTTGTTCATAGGGTCACTAAGAGTCATGCTCAACTCAACAGCAATGAACAAATCAACAACACCAAGTCTATAATTATCACTATACATAAATGGTACCTTAGTGTTCATCTACTAAGTCTGCCCTTCACCACTGAAAGAAAATGGGAGTTGGACTGCAGAAAACATCTCCTAGCCTTGCCTTAGACAAAGTCTTTTAATTCAGCCTTCTGCTTTGCCCTTGACCTTGGAAAGACAACACTACACTGACTCCATGGCTGGAGTAGGATTAGCTTAGTGGTAAGCAGTTACACTGCCAATTCAAAGGCACATGTTCAAATCCACAGGAGATGAAAAAAAATCTCCTCTTATGTCATTTATTGCCTCTGAAAACCCACTGGAGGGTTAACTATGAGTCAGATCCAATTCAACATTACATGACAACAACTGGCCCTACAACTACAGAATCTCAAATGTGCCTGCCCTGGCCTCCATTCAGCACAATCCTCCTTCCTGCTGCTCCGAGTGCCAAGTAGAATATAAACTCTTTAAGGAAAAGACTGTACCTTAATGATCTTTATATCCTTCACTTGACCTCGCCTGGTAACTACTCAAAAAATATTTGTCCAATTCATTAAATAACTAACTAATGTGAGAATTGCTGAGTAAAATCCTAACAATGGAAACTGATCTAATTAAAAGGGTGTTCCTCCATTGTTACTAATATTGTAGACAGGTCAGTTCCTGCTGGGTGAAGCTATCTCACACAGTAAGCTATCTTGTTCAGCATTGCTAGTACCCACATGTTCTGTCTCAGTAGTCCTACATGGTTAATATGAAAAACAGTACATTCTCCGTGAAATGACATATAGATGATAAATGGCCTCCAGAAGAAATCCGTACATCCCAAAGGATGATTAAGACATCTGCTGGGGTATGAGAAAGAAATTTAACTTTCCCCCCTTTTTTTTCTTCACTTCATCTTAAAAAAAAAATTAAATTGAGCATTACTACTGCCTAGCACTAACAAGCAGGTTGAGAACTGTACACATACACAATCCATATAAACAAACATATATATGAGAGTATATAGAAACTTTTGTTACTGATAAGAATATGTAGGAGCAACTATTTTGAGAGGACTTCAGAATTAATATTGCTTGTTCAAAAGGAAGCATGTCATTGGATTTTCCAATCAACTCTGTAAGTACTATACCTTCACAGTGTTTGAATCCAATTTGTGATAAAATTTGTTTCAAGGTCAGTTTGTTGCTCTTAAGCCCATGCATCTGGAGCCATTTCTCTGATGAGATGAGACTCTGCTGAACCAAGTCCTTTCTGGTGTTTCTCACGCCATCTTGCTTCTGAAGCTGTTGCTCAAAGAAAGCAGAAGTTGAACCCAGTTTCTCCATCTCTGAATCAGGATCTAAGTCAAAAGAAATTCATGTAAGAGCAATTGTCACATTCAAACCTCTTGAAAATAAACCAACATCAACAGAACACTGATTTTAAAAAATTATAGTACGTCCATTAAATAGAATTCTATGTACCAGAGTCGCTATGAGTTGCCTGCGACTCGACAGCACTTAACAACAAATAACATCAACATAGAGAGAGAGATCAGCTGGCCCAGTGGTCAGAAGGCAATGCTACCAAGCCGAAGGTGGGTGACATTCCTCTAGGTCGTATAGCCCTGGTGTAAAAGTTGCTGTACAGCCGTTAACTTGTGGTTGCTGTGAGGCTGAACACTGTGACACTGATGTGTCAAATGTGTTAATGGCTGGTTACCCAATTCGGACAGAGAGTGGGGTGGAGCTCCCCAATTAAAACAAGCTTGGAAGGAGGAGTGGCATTCCGTAATAGCTTGCCTCTGGAAACCCTATGAACCTGGAGAGAGGATGAAAGACACACAAGCGTTGAGGACTCTCCTTCATAGGGTCGCTATGAATCGCCTGAGACTCGACGGCACTTAACAACAACAACAACAATGTACCAGTTTAAAATTATAGCTGTATTTTGTTGGCAAACGCATCTACATCATTGCTAAGAGGAATCCATCAAATTTAAGGTTCATATGCATGCATATATATAGAAGGAAAATAATCTAGAAATATATATATACCAAAAAATGAAAATCATTCATTAACTAAACAAGCTTTTAAACTGGATAAAAGAAAAAACTATCTGCAATAAGGGTGTGATCATCACAACATTATTAAAGAAAAGGGAGAAATGTAAACAAAAGGTACAGACCACAAAGATAAATACTAACATGCACAGAATCTGACATTATCAGTAATAACAGATATTTATCTTATGAATGTCTGCACAGGCTGACAGACAAGATGAGCAGCTCTGTTTTAGCAAATGAGACAACACTATGGGCATAAAGGTCTGGCAGACAAGATTTCTACATTATCTAGCTGTATGTGCTTGGAAGGAGGAATGGTATCCACTTCCGTAATAGCTTGCCTCCGGAAACCCTATGAACCTGGAGAGAGGATGAAAAACACCCAAGCGTCGAGGACTCTCCTTCATAGGGTCGCTATGAGTAGCCTGCGACTCGACGGCACTTAACAACAACAACAACAGCTGTATGTGCTACAAAGAGATCTACATGCAAATCTCCTCCCATGTGGTTTATAGCCTCTGAAACCTGTTGAATGATCAGTTATGAGTCAGTTCTGACTCAGCAATGAGTTTGAGTTTGATGTAGTAAAACAAACAAAGAAAAATGATGAAAACACGGTAGCCATAACCAAACACCTGGAGGGAGTGAGTTACTGGGCCTGGGAGCTCAGAGGAAATCAAGGTCAATTATAAAAGTCTACAAATACAATATTCTACACTATACTTTGATGAATAGCAATTAGGATATTAAAAGATTGTTAGCAATCCTCTAAGGTGAAACTACTAGTCTCTCCCTGTTCAGAATAAGGAGGGAAGAAAGCCAATGACTAATATATATAGAAGGACTAATGAGGTCATGGACTAATGACCTAAAAAGCTTCAGTTTCCATGACACTGACACCTGAAGAACTCACGATGTTTAAGGCCCAGCTACTACTGTAGACCACTCTGAAAGGGATCACAATAGAAGGTGCCTGACAGTTGTTATTGAGTGCTCTCAAGTCGACTATGACTCATAGTGACCCTGTGAACCTTGCCCTATCCTGAGCCGTCTCTCTGTCTCTGACACTCCTCCAGTTACTGGGTCAACCCATCTCATTTCGGTTCTCCCTCTTCTGTACTGTGTAAGCATGATGTCTTTCTCCAAGGACTGGTCCCTTCTGGTAACATGCCTAAAGTATGTGAAACAGAGTTTCAAAATCCTTGATAGAGTAGGATAAAAATAGAGAACAAAACTAAAAATCATAAAATTATCAGGCTTGCTGATCTGATGGTGACTGGTACAGCCCCAGAGACTTTGATCCTTAGTTATCCTTCAAGCCTGGAACCTAAATAACCACCATAACTCATATTCCAATTGAAAACACTGACAAGCCTATAAGATGATCAATATCTATAGGGAATACACCTCTTAGAATAACCAAATACATAAGACAAAAATGGCAGTATTTGTCCAAGGATAAAGCTCAGAAGGCAGGAAGGTTTAGGAAAGAAAGACCAATAGAAATGGGAAACACAGTGAAGAAGTGGGAAGAGTGCTGCTATGATGCAGGGATTAAATCAATACTATGGTGCATAATATGTATACAACATTGGATGGAGAACTAATTTGTTCTGTAAACTTTCAAATCACAAGAAAAAGGGGGATTATTCTTAAAAAAAATTAGCAAACAACAAATACTGGCAAGGATACAGAAAGATAAGAACTCTTATATATTGCCAGTATGGAGGGCAGTCTGACACTTCCTCATAAAGCTGAAAATTGAAATACCGTATGCCCCAGTTATCCCACTACTAGGAATATACCCCAAAGAAATCACAGCTACAATACAAACAGATTTATGAACACTCATGTTTATCATAGCATTATTCACAATAGCAAATAAATGGAAACAGTCCAGTGCCTATCAACAACTAAGTGGATAAAGAAACTATATTATATTCACACAATGAAATACCACACAATATTGTAAAATAATGAACTGATAAAACACTACATAACATGGATGAATATGGAAGACATTATGCTGAGTGACATATCTCAGTTACAAAGGGACTGCATAATTCCACTATTAATAGGATCAAAATGGGAGACGGGAGAAGAGCAGGGGAAACGGATAAAATAATGAATACTGCACTAGAGTGAGTAAAAGGAAGAACACTCCGAATAGAATGGATGATTAGGAACCATGTGTATGCCAAGTAATAGTCTTACAAGGGGATCTGGGAGGAGAGGCAGAGAGAGGAAGTATACATGAATGAAGCAATTAAAAAAGAAAGATGCCAACAGTTTTATAGTAGTTTTCACCGTGTAGTGGGCATCATAAATGTTTTGTTATTTTCATGTTTCTAGAACAGGATTTACTTTCACAATCAGAAGAATCAAGGCTATTTCAGTCTGGAAAAATAACCATTCTACTTAGGCACTTCGCTACATGTCAGTATCCCAACTGTAATCATATCTGAAATTTTGTCTCTGAAAAGATTAAAGAAAGTAGAACCTTATAAGGAGATATACTTGTCCTACAGGAAGAGTCTTTAAGTATCTTTATGTAATTTGATACTTGAATTTGTTCTTCTGTTCCTTCAGCTTAAGAAAAGCCTAGCAAATCCTTCTTTTTGATTTTTCTGACTCCAGCTCTTTGCACAGATTCTTAAATGCTTTGTCTTCTCGGGGTGCCCTTTGAAGTCTTTTGTTCAATTCTTTAACTTCTTGATTGCTTCCCTTTGCTTTGGCTTCTCGGATCTCTAGTGCAATATTTAGAATCTCTTCTGACATCTACTTCGGCCTTTTCTTCTTCCTCTGTTTTTGAAATGACCTTTTGCATTCTTTCTGGATGATATTATTGGTATCAACCCACAGCTCATCTGGTCTTCATTCATTAGTGTTCAAGGCCTCAAAGCTTTTCCTGAGATGGTTTTTAAATTCAGGTGGAATTAGACTCAGATAAAATTTTGGTTCTCGTGGCTTAATTTTGTTTAACTTAATTGTTATTTCACAGTCAGCACCTGTCCTAATTCTCACAACTGATATTGAGCTTCTCCAGAGATTCTTTCCACAGATGTAATAAATTTGATTCCTGTGTAGTCCATCAGGTGAAGTCCATGTGTATAGTCACTGTATTTAAAAAAAAATACATTTGCAATGAATATGAATAAATAATTGATTGTAAAAAATTCTAATACTCTATCTCCAGTCCACACTTCTGTTACCAAGCCCATACTTTCAAACTACTTATCTTTCTTTCTGTTCCCAACTATTGCATTCCACTTACCAATTATTATTAATGAATCTTGGTTGCATGTTCGATCGATTTCGGACTGCAAAAGTTGACAGAAATATTTTATTTGCTCCTCTTTGGCTCTAGTTGTTGGTGTATATAGTTGAATGAAAGTGGTATTAATAAGTCTTCTTTGTATGGATGATATTATCCTGTCACTCACAACATTGTAATTCAAGATATATCCAGAAGTGGTCTTTTTACTTTTTACATTTTTCACTCACAACATTGTAATTCAAGATATATCCAGAAGTGGTCTTTTTACTTTTTACATTTTTCCTCAATTTTTCATTCCCAGTATAGTAGATAATAAAATTCTGATTTAAAAAGGCCCATGCCAACCCATCTCAGCACATCATTGTCAGTATCAATATGTATGCATTCCATTTCTTTTTTAACAATGTCCAATTTTCCTACATTCATATTCCATACAGTCTACGTTTCAATTATTAATGGCTGCTTGCAACTGTTCTTCCTCATCTTATGTTTCCCAATATGAGGTTTCAGCTTCCAATGCTATATCTAATAGTCTAAGTGTGCTCTATCATTCATAGGGTTTTCGAAGGCCTGTTATTTCAGAAGTGGATGGCCAATCCTTCTTTCTAGTCTGTCTTAATTTGGAAGCTTAACTTTAGTACAATATCTGACAGATAAGCATTTATGCAAAACAGTAGATAATGAACAAAACATTTTTGGATCACAAATTGTAACATTGAGAAGAACAGGAATCTCAGAAATTGATTGTGCTAATGTGAAACCTATATCTAGACCAAGAAGCTGTTGTATGAACAGAGCAAGGGTAAGCTGCACAGTTCAAAATCAAGAAAGTCATGCATCATGGATGCATCCTTTCTCCAACCCTTTTCGATCTATATGTAGAAGATATAATTCAGGAGGCATGATTTTATTAAGAATGAGCCTCAAGATTGTAGGAAGACTCATCAGCAATCTGTATTATGTAGATGGCACAACCTTGCTCACTGAAACAGAGGAAGACTTGA